CAATCTTAAATATAATTATATTGAAGCCTATTGGTTAAAGTATTTGCGGTGAGAGGCGTCTCTGACCGGTCATTCACTTTCTAACCGCGTGTAAAAAGCAATCTTTGCGGCTTATATATATATATATATATTGCGCTTTTATCCCGAGATACGACAGACAGCATCCGTTAGGAGTTTCCAAGATCAAATCCTGTCAAGTTTCAGCCCCCGCTTAACCCGTCATTCCTTCTGTATCGATTTGCAAAAAGTCCTTGACTATTCGCCATTCAAAGCAGCATCCAGACATTCTGGCACCTTTGCAATCCTTCTTCTTGAAAAGTCTACGATCTTATACTTCTCTCTCTCTCTCTCTCTCTCTCTCTTTCTTGTGAAAAGATAAGAACTGAGCGTGACAATGCCATCAACCGATTTGTCATCTCAGATTATGTTATATCTTCACGTATATGAATCACATCTACTTTTTCAATTTTTTTCCCTTTTCACGAAAAAATTCCTCCTGCCATATTTCCATAACCCAATCCATTTTCCATGATTTCTCTCTCTCTCTCTCTCTTTCACTCTCCTACTATCATCGTTTATTTTCTTGTCATTTCTCAGAAAATTTTCTCAATTGACTTTACAATTTATTAGAAAAAAAAGAAAAAAAAAAAAAAATGCTAAAAAACAGTAATTTTTTAGTTATTTTAAAAAAAGAAAACAAACACTGAATTTATTTTATTCAAATAATTATACTTGATTTCAAATAAATATTCACTCTGACCAAAGAATTATTGAGTCAATGGTAAATGGTAAATTTAAATACAGAAATTATTGGTTTAAATAAAGTTTATTTAATTCAATTATTTAATTTCAAAAATTATTTCGTTCAAGTAAATAATTATTTGATTCGAATAAAAATTATTTTGTTCAAATACAAATTTATTTCGTTCCAATACAATTTATTTAATTCAAATAAAAATTATTTTGGTTCGAATACAATTTTAGTTGGTCCAAATAAATATTCATTTGGTACAAGTAAATATTTATTTGGTTCGAATAGAATTTATTTGGTTCAAAAAAAAATTATTCAGTCCAAATATAAATATTCATTTGGTTCAAGTAAATATTTATCTAATTCGAATAGAATTTATTGAATTCAAATAAAAATTATTTATTTCAAATAAAAATTATTTGGTTCGAATACAATTCTAGTTGGTCCAAATAAATATTCATTTGGTACAAGTAAATATTTATTTGGTTCGAATTGAATTTATTTGGTTCAAATAAAAAATTATTTGGTCCACATATAAAGATTCATTTGGTTCAAGTAAATATTTATCTAGTTCGAATAGAATTTATTGAATTCAAATAGAAATTAATTATTTCGAATAAAAATTATTTGGTTAAAATACAAATTTATTTAATACAAACAAAAATTATTTGTTTCGAATAAAAATTATTTGGATCGAATATAACTTATTTGGTTCAAAAAAAAAATTATTCAGTCCAAATATAAATATTCATTTGGTTCAAGTAAATATTTATCTAGTTCGAATAGAATTTATTGAATTCAAATAAAAATTATTTATTTCAAATAAAAATTATTTGGTTCGAATACAATTTTAGTTGGTCCAAATAAATATTCATTTGGTACAAGTAAATATTTATTTGGTTCGAATAGAATTTATTTGGTTCAAATAAAAAATTATTTGGTCCACATATAAATATTCATTTGGTTCAAGTAAATATTTATCTAGTTCGAATAGAATTTATTGAATTCAAATAAAAATTAATTATTTCGAATAAAAATTATTTGGTTAAAATACAAATTTATTTAATACAAATAAAAATTTTTTGTTTCGAATAAAAATTATTTAGTCCAAATATAAATATTCATTTGGTTCAAGTAAATATTTATCTGGTTCGAATAGAATTTATTGAATTCAAATAAAAATTAATTATTTCGAATAAAAATTATTTGGTTCGAATACAATTTATTTGATACAAATAAAAAATTATTTGGTTAAAATACAATTTATTTAATACAAATAAAAATTATTTGATCCGAATAAAATTTATTTAGTTCGAATAAAAATTATTTGATTCAAATAAATATTTAATTTTGTTCAGGTAAATATTTATTTGGTTCGAATAAAAAATTTATTTAATTCAAATAAATATTATTTGAAACGAATAAAAATTATTTGTAACGAATAAAAATTATTTGTAACAAATAATAATTATTTAGTTTAAATAAAATTTACTTATAATTGAAATAAAAATTATTTGGTTCAAAATAAAATGTATTTGGTTTGAATAAAAATTATTTGTTTATCAAAATAAATTTTTTTGTTTTTCAGTATAGTTATTTTGTAAAAAGAAAATAGTTTTGTTTAAGCGACGATTGCTTTTTTATTTATCACTTTACTTAAAGGGAAAAACAATTTTCTTTGATTCTTGGGAAAACAATTGAGAAAAAAGAATAAGTATCTCAAATACGAAAAAGCAAATATTTTTTCAAGTTACTAAAGTTTTTGAGAAAACATTTCTGATATTGACTCACACGCGAAATTGAATCAAAATGTTATTTTCAAGTTTATTAAAAAAAAAAAAAAGAAAAAAAAAGAAAATACTTTCCTATAATTCTTATTTACTTTTACACTATAAAATATTTTCTTTTTGACAAGAAAAGAAAAATTGAGAAATAATTTTTTGCAAAAATTGCAACAAATGAAAGAATTAATTTTATACAGAAAGTAAAATTTTTTAATTTCTATTCCGATTTTTCCAAAAATTGAGACAGATTAAAAATTTACATTTTTTGTTTAGAAGATCAAAACTACAAAGTTAGGAGAAAATTCACCGAAACTATTTTTTTTTTTTTTGGGAAAAAAGAAGCAAATGAGTATGTTTGTATAAATTTATACATAAAGGGGCTGAGAGATAAAAGTGGAATGTGCGCTCGCAATTTTCCAGTGGCAAAGAGATCTTGTTTCGTATTTTTAAATGTAACTTTCAGAAAACATAAACACTCAGCGCAGTGAACAAATTTACCTTGGGGGTTTTTTTTTTTACCATGTATGACGTTTGACTTCTTTTTATCCAAGTAAGCACCACTTTTCACCGACAAGGATAAAGTGTGACCTTTAGAATGAAATAGTAGTGTTTTGCCCTCTCTTTTTACACACACACACACATAGTGAAACTTGACGTTTTTATCCCAAAGAAAAAGTCAATCGATCGGTGCCCAATTTCCCTTGGGAAATCCCTCAATAGCTGACACCGTGGTGGATATTTAATCGCGCTGCCAAACTTTTACTAAAGCCGATATATGTGTGTATGTGCAGATTTAAACCTATTGAATTACTTTCTTTTTTCTGTTAAATTTAATTCCAATCTCTCTCTCTTTCTCTCATATATATATATATATATGTCAATTCCATATTTATTATTTTTCAAAGCATGTTTTTAAAAATATAAACAAAAAGACTGCGCGCAAATTAAATTTATAGAGAAATAATTTTTCCTCTCTATGATAAAATAAAAATTTTTATATTATGAGAATATTTCACAATGAAATGGTTTCATTTATAGTTTTTTTCTTTTGTTTTTTTTTATATAAACGAAAAACTGCGCTCTTTGAAAAACGAGTGCGTTTGATTGTTAGATGAGGAAAAATGGGAAAGATTTTTTTTTATTTTTTGCCTTTTATAAAATAATATCAAACTCGAACTTATGCGGACGGCAATTTTATCATGATTGTTTGATATTTTAAACCATTTCAATTTTCCATTTAGAGAAAAAAAGAAAAAAAGTTTTTAAAAATTAATTATCTCTCAATTAAATATAAAAGAATTTGGATTTTTTTATTAAAATATGAAAGAGTATATGATTTTTCATTGAAGAGTAAAAAAAAAAACCTGACTTTATATTTGAAGTGGAAATTTTATACTCGAAAAAACTTGAAGTGAATATCTCTACTTCAAAAACAGAACGAGAACTTCTTCACTATTTTAATTGAAATAAATGGTTTCTTTTCTTTTAAAAAATGAATTTTCTTTTCATGACTGTGGAAAAAAAAAAAAATTTCCTAACATTTTTCTTTTGAAAAAGAAATTAGTATTTACATTAGTCATAAAAGAGCTCTATATAGATATAGTATTTGAAAATCAATTTAAAGATTTTGCCGTTAAAGATTATTATTTTTTTTTTTGGAGATATTCCCTAACGATCTCTTTTGCTCTCGATATAACGAGTAGAAGAATAATGACGCAGAAGATCGTATTTTCGTTTAATTATTTGTGATATTTAATGATGACAACTGCAAAAATGCAAGGGAAAAAATTGAAATCGAAAATTATTTTTTATAGGTCAAATTAAAGCTAATTTTTATGCGAAATTTTTTTTTTTTCATAATTATTCGAAATTTTGTTGTTAAAAAAAGAAATATCAAATAATTTATATATTTTTCGACCACATGAGTACTAAAAATTTTTAGCATAAAATATTATTATAGAATTAAAAAACATTTTGAAAAAAATTACGAGAGCATAAATCACTGCTATCACACAACAGTTTTTCCAGTCTCTTGTGACTTTATATGTTGAGGCAAGTTTTTTTTTTTTTTTTATTTACCAGTGGAACTTTAATTCCGCCAGGTTTACCAGAATGGAATTTCTGTGAATTTCAAAGATATCTATATATGTGTGTGAGAGAGAGAGAGTTACATGTTCTGACGTTATCGAGAAATGTCCGAGTTTTTCGAGTCGACTTTATCGACGAGAAAACTTATCAGAGATGTGCTTAGTTCAGCGATCGGTCTTATTTTCCGTCATTAACAAACCCCTTGAGGGCTGAATCGATTGAACCGCGAAATTTCTTCCCGAGAAAATATATAAGAGATTTTATATATATATATATATTTAAAGAGAATGATAAATGCCCTTATTACTACTTTACCCAAAGGGATCTTGATTAAAATTATACTTGTCAAAAAAAAAGAAAATTTTTTTTCAACTTACTTGATCAACAATTTCTGTCAGGTCGTGTAGACTTATGTTGTAGATAATGTTCCTGAAAAAGAGAAAATTTACAAATATTTTATTTAAAAATAATTTAAGTATTTGTTTTTTTTTTATACATTTAAAAAAAAAAATTTATTTGATTCAAATACTCGATTACTTGAAATATTATCAAATAAATATTTATTTTTATCAAATAATTATTATTTGAGATTATATTTGTTTCAATTACAGAAAATTATTTGTTCAAATATAATTTATTTAATTCAAATAAAAATTATTTGGTTCAAGTAAATATTTATTTGGTTCGAATAGAATTTATTTGGTTCAAATAAAAAATTATTTGGTCCACATATAAATATTCATTTGGTTCAAGTAAATATTTATTTGGTTCGAATAGAATTTATTTGGTTCAAATAAAAAATTATTTGGTCCACATATAAATATTCATTTGGTTCAAGTAAATATTTATTTGGTTCGAATAGAATTTATTTGGTTCAAATAAAAAATTATTTGGTCCACATATAAATATTCATTTGGTTCAAGTAAATATTTATCAAGTTCCAATAGAATTTATTGAATTCAAATAAAAATTATAATTATTTCGAATAAAAATTATTTGGTTTGAATACAATTTATTTAGTACAAATAAAAAATTATTTGATTAAAATACAATTTATTTAATACAAATAAAAATTATTTGATCCGAATAAAATTTATTTGTTTCAAATAAATATTCATTTTGTTCAGGTAAATATTGATTTGATAATGGTTTGGTTGATAATGATAAGTACACTCAGATAAATGTTTTATTTAAACCAAATATAATATATTTAAGTTAAATAAACGTATATTTTTCTCACAGCCTACTATATCCTATACTTATTTGGCGTAAGTAAAATTTTTTATTTAAATCAGATAAAAATTTATTCCAATCAAATAAATTTTTTTTTCAGTGTATTATTTGGAAAATTCAAAGTGACTTGTTTTGTCGTTGGAATGCAGTTTTTCTATATTATTATTATCCATATATATATATAATAATAAAATGGTATTAAAGTCTTTAATAGGCATGCTCCGTCAATGTATGTTCACAATTTTGTAACGCAAAAGTTTTTATACCGGAAGAAGTCTGCTGGGAAGTACTTTCCGAAAGGTAAGTCGACTCCAAAACTCCCGTCGTCGAAGGAGAAATCGTATATGGTCGTCTTTTATTAAGTTGTAAACTTTGCCTCTTTAAATGCTGTCTATACGACTCGCGGTCCGATAACAACACAGAAGGCATATTCTATATTCGTATAAAAGACTTCTTTTTATTCATAAAAAAATTTTAACATTTATTTTATCTAAAAACTTGTCAAATCTTCTGAATTACACAAAAATTGTTTTAATCATTTTTTTTTAATTACTCCGTTATTAAAAAATGAAAAAAATATTTTTTTTTATCAAATTCTTTATTATAGGAACTATTTTAATATTATAATTTATTTATTATTAATAGTTTATTATTTATTTATTATTTATTTATTACTTATTTATTATTTATTTAGTATAATTAATTATTTTTATTTATTCATTAAATTTGTAATTAAATATAATAGAATATGTAAAAAAAAAAATTTTTTTTTTAATGAAATTGTCAGGAAAATCTTTAAAGCAGTGACTTTTTAAGCACGGTTAATATATAATAGTTTAGTGGGTGTACTTTCGGTAGTCATTTAAACGAAAATCAATAAGTTAAGCACGTTCACCTTAGGATCAGTATATGCGAAGGTAAACTCATACCTTTCATTCGAGTTCAGCAACAAGTAGCGTACACGTCAATCGTTTCATATATATGTTTTTTGACCCGTACAAGACAAGCGAAATTGTTTTTTTTTTTTTTTTCATGTTGAATTGAAATTCAAAGACATAAATAACTTCCACAAGGGATGATGTCATTTAATTTTATATAAAAGCTTTTATATACCACTATATATTAAAAACGACTCATTTAAATTTTTAGTTTTTAATTTCGTATTTCTTTTTTCTAATAAAATCGAAAAAATTATTTTAAAAAAAGTTAAAAATTTTTAATTTTATTTTTTTTTATTAAAGTTAAATTTTTTCAAATTTGAAATTTGCATTCCAGAAAATTCATCCAATTGAAAAGTTTCGGTTGGAAATTGGTTGATCGTATAGATGCGGGAAATAAGAAAATTTCGAATATATTCACCTGGCGCCGATCAGGATGAAAGTGGCTGCTCGCTCCAGGAGTTTGAAGTGTTCCACGTGACTCTCGTTTCCAAGAAAACGCTGACCGATTACATCTCCTGAAAAAAGAAGAAAAAAAAAAATTGGTACTATATAGATCGTTTCTCATGAAGGTTGATTTTATATTAAAATGCAAGATGGAACACTCCACATGATGAAATTCTCTAAGGTACAAAACTTTTTTTTTTTTTATCATATTATACTTTTCTTATATATTTACATTTTTTTAATATAAAAACCTTATCATAAGTGCTCTTTTGCAAATTATCATTTCTTTTAGATTATTTTTTATTTAAAATTTGAAAAAAAAACTGAAAAGAAAAAAATTAATCAGTTTTTAAAAATCAGTAATTTATTGAAGAGAAAAGAAATACTCTTGGCAAAGTAAAACGGGACATTCATTAATCTTGTGGGGGAAAAAAAATTGCAAGAAACGCAGAAAACATTGGAGGGGAAAAAAAAAAAAATTATTTTACGAAACAGCAATAATTGTAGAGGGAATGACAATTATTTATTTTCCCTTATTCGTCTTTCGGAAAAGTCGTCGTCGAGAAATAGCGAACGTAACGAGCAAACAAATGAAATTGTTCCTCTATACTCTCTCGAGTTAAAGAGTAATTTCTGCGGGGGAAAAACTCGGCCAACTTCCCAGTAATTGTTTGCCACAGAATCAGGAGCGACAATCTCGTCTCTCTCTCTCTCTCTCTTTCGAGGAAAGTGGAAGGGGGGCTTCATATTAAAAAAGCTTCACACTGCTGAAACAGCTTTCATTAACTGTTCTTTTGAACACGTAAGCTGAAACTTGTTTTAACTGATTTAAGAAACGGTACAAAAGTTATATATATAAAAAAAATATAATATTGAGAAAATTTCTCGAGTTTTTTCTAGAAAAAAAAAAAAAAGAAGGCAAATAGTTTTCCTACACGCGCGCGCGACTATGAAAATATCTTTTCAAAACTTCTGTCTCTCCCGTTTGCTGATCTAATAAAACGAAATAAAATTTCTCAAAACGATACTGAAATAAAATATTCGAGAAAAATTTTTTGCCAATTTAAAAAAAAAAAAGAATTTATGAAATCTTTTATTATAAATTGCATTATATAGAAAAATTTATTTTTTTTTTTTTTTACTATAAAAGGTATGATGGGGAAAAAAAAATATGCCGCTAATCTCTAGGACATATTTATAATACATTATGCGTGAACATAGAGACAATAGGTATATCTTGTATATTACCACTTTGCGCGTTTCAAATAATGTCTCATACAATACAAGGGTTTCCTTACATGGTCACGTTCAATGCCGCCTATTTCTCGGATCAATACTCAACATCAGTATTTACTTTGTATTTGACTTTACACAAACTTTTCTATACTTATCAAATATAAAAATATAATATATTCCAAACTCTAATCGCGTGGAAAAAATAATATTATAAGTTTCGATAAAATTTTTCAAAAAATTTTGAAAATATTGCGTAAAAAGACAAATTTGAATTGTACAAATTTATGAAAAATTTTGTTAAGCTAAAATTATTGTTGAATTCAACCTTTTGTTTTGTCTTATGGTCCAAAATTTTAATTCAAATAATCAATTACTTGACGATTATTAAATAAATATTTATTTGTATCAAATAATTTTTATTTAAGTCAATTAAATGGTACACATAAAATTAAAAGGCATTAAAATTAAGCTGCAACGCTTATTATTTTAATGCCTTTTAATTTTCTGTGTATTTGTTGCAAATACAGAAATTATTAGTTCAAATAAAAATTAAATGGGGGGGGGCGCATGATTATTCCATAAAAAGCATTAATTAGAATTTTCATTTTTTTTACAATTTTATTAGATATACAATAATATTTTTTTAGACGAATTTTCATTTTTCGAATTAACATTTGTCAGAATTTCCTATTTTTTTTTTTTTTTTTGAAGAATTTTTAAATAATTTTTATTTGATCAAATTCTTAAAACGCCGAAATTTTTAATTGTCCAAAATTACAAATGGGGCCAAATAAACAATCGATTTTGACGCGATATTTAAAATTCGCCAATTTTATATAGTTGTCAAAAAAATTGTGATTGAGTGGATTTTAAAAATCGCGCCTAAAATCTTTCTGTGGATTATTATTTGTTCGGCAATTTGCAATTTTGGATAAACAAAAATTCGACATTTTAAGAATTCTACCAAATAAAAATTATCTAAAAATACAATGATTCTTTTATGGGATAATAATATGTTCAAGTATAAATATTTATTTGTTAATACTCAAGTATAACACAGAAAATTAAAAGGCATTAAAATAAGCTGCAACGCTTATTATTTTAATACCTTATAGCTTTCTGTGAATTGATTATATTTGAATCAAATAAATTTTTTTTTCTATCTCTAATAAATGTGACCTAAAAATGCGTCTGTTATACCTATTCAGTTTTATCACCAAATTTAGCATTAAATGAACTTTTTTTTTTTACTCGTTTTAAAAGCCACTTGTCTCAATAACGTCGCATGAAAAGAAAGATCGTAAAAAAGAGTCAAGACAAAATGAGAGCAGTGACACGTGGGAAATCCTAAAGAACATTACTTATGTCAATGTCTCTTTCTCTCAGAGAATATATACGAATGCCATGGAAGTATTTCTTTCGCGCCTATTGTAAAATTCTATGCATCGGAGAGTAACGAGAGAGAGAGAGAGAGAGAGAGAGAAAGATACGTGTGTGCAAACGGTATATATATATATAATTTTCCCAAGGGATGTATATCAAAGTGTGTAGGTGAAATTCTATGGAAACGTGGTCTTTTACAGCGATATATATATATATATATATATATATATATATATATTTGGCATCCTTTCGCATATGTTATTACCCTTTTGTACAATGACGACAAATATGCATTGCTGCAATATATATATATATTTGCACAATCCGATAGAACGTGTTGCAGGATGAAATAACACTATTATTGTGCGACATCTGGAGAATTTTACTAAATTACAAGACCAACGTTCTAACACTAAGAAACATAATATAATGAATTTGAAATCGTTCCAAGTTTCATGCGAGGCGCTTAGAAAATCGTATTTTCCCATTTTGCATGCATTTAAACTTTATCCTTTTTGGTGAAAATATACCACATTTATGATAACAGAAACAAAAGTCAAAAATTAATTTATAAATTTCCATTTTAATTTTCAGTTTCTTTTGTTAAATTATAATTCTACATTGAAAACAAAATTATTTCATTCAAATAATCGGTTATTATTAAATAAATATAATTATTTACTTGAGTCAATTAAAAAAATTAATTATTTGGATTCAAATACAATTTATTTGGTTTTAAATAAAATTTATTTGGTTCAAATAAAAATTATTTCTTTAGAATCAAAAAATAATTTGGTTCAAATAAAATTTATTTGAATCAAATAATAAATTATTGCTTTGGAATAAAAATTATTTTATTCAATTAATTCAAATAAATATTATTTGTATCAAATACAATTTATTTGGTTCAAGTAAATATCTATATATCTAGTTCGAATACAATTTATTTAATATAGAAATAAAAATTATTTGGTTTGAATAAAATTTATTTGGATCAAATAAAAATCATATCTTTAGAATCAAAATTTATTTGAATCAAATAATAATTATTTGGTTTGAATAAAATTTATTTGGATCAAATAATAATTATTGCTTTGGAATAAAAATTATTTTGTTCAATTAATTCAAATAAAAATTATTTGTATCAATTACAATTTATTTGATTCAAGTAAATATCTATATATCTAGTTCGAATACAATTTATTTAATATAGAAATAAAAATTATTTGGTTTGAATAAAATTTATTTGGATCAAATAAAAATTATTTCTTTAGAATCAAAAATTATTTGGTTCAAATAAAATTTATTTGAATCAAATAATAATAATTATTTGGTTTGAATAAAATTTATTTGGATAATAATAATTATTATTGTTTGATTCAAATAAATTTTATTTGGATCAAATAATAAATTATTGCTTTGGAATAAAAATTATTTTGTTCAATTAATTATTTGGTTTGAATAAAATTTATTTGGATCAAATAAAAAATTTTTTTATATCGAATAAAAATTATTTGGTTCGAATACAATTTATTTGGATCAAATACAATTTATTTGGATCGAATAAAAATTATTTGGCGCAAGTAAATATTTATTTGATAATAGTTAAATAACCGATTCTTTGAATCAAATTTTCCTTCTATAAAAAATGCAATAATTTTTTTTTGTATCTAAATTATTTTCTTTGATAAACGCTTTTTCAAGGTACTATAAAGTATTTTATGTCTCGAGTGCTGACAATTGTACTTTTCTTGAATCATTTTTGCGCAGAGTCAACTAATCAATATAAGTGCTAAAATAACACTTTTTTTTATAGTATATAACCTCTCTCTCTCTCTCTCTCTCTTTCTCTCTCGCATACTCTCTGAGAGTTTCTTTTATTTTCTTTATAAATGCTTTTCAGATTGTTTTTACAAAAGGCGCAATAAGAGGTTAGTTTCTTATAATGGGGTTTGGCTCAATACCAAACTCACTGGACGTCGTAAATGATCAACACTCGTGTTTATTTTAACTGTTCTTTTTTACGAGTAGAACTCTCGCCTCATTATTCTGTCTAAATGGAGTTTAAAGGAAATTCGCCACTAAGAGAAACAACGTTTCAGAGAGTGCAATATATATATATATATATATATATTCGTATGTAATTTATTGCAAAAGACGAAATTGTATGCGCGAATATAATTAATTGTGTGTTGGAAACATTTCTAGTGGCATCTCATGATTAATCATATAGAAACATATATATTATAACGATGATGAAACGGAATGTACAGCTCGGTATTGATTTTTCATTTTGTATATATATATATATATATATATATCTGAGATTTGCCTACATATAACAAAAGCTTTTTTTCTATTTATTTTTCACAATACTATTTTTAAAATTAATTTTCCAATGAAAATAAATTAAAAATCAATAAATTATTTATCTTCAAATTAATGTTGAAAA